CCCAGAGAACCAAAGGACCAGGATACAACTGGAACTCAAAAGTCGAACTCTTATCAGAAGCAAGGGGTCCGTTGTGTAGGAAGATCTGGTGTTAAAACCCCTTCCACACCTTACCATAAATGTTGAAAACCTTACCATAAATACTGAAAGCCCTCCAATCGACACCTGCCCCACCAGTGTTTCCATGTACCAGCCTGTTTTCCATAACCTCTTAAATTTTGCCCCAAATCCTGAATCAGGGAGACAGATCTGAGAGTTTATGCCTCCTGTCTCCTTGCAGATCAATCTCACAATAAAGCTCTTTTCTTTTCTCAAAAGCTGATGCTATAATAATTGGCTCTTTATGTGCATCAGGGAAGATAACCCCAATTTTGTGCAGTAACATTGCTACTCTAAGTTGTGGCCTAGAGAGAAGGGCCGTGAGCTCTTCAAGGATACTGGGGTTCCCCTCACAAATTTATTTCTCATAATTGTGATGAAAGGTATGCCTTCGGGACCCTCTCAGTGTGGGTCAGTAGGTCTTACATGACAAATCTACTCTTACAATCCAATCTCCCTGAGCCTTTGAATCCCTTGCTTTAGATTAAACCACGTTAGGTCCAGCATTTTCAGCTTGCTTACTGTGGCCCACTTTTTTGTCCATTTTTCAGTGAACCAACCAATCTGTTTGAGTCCTTTCTAACTCCCCAGCCTGCAACTTTAAATGCAGAACCTCTGCTTAGTGAGCCCATATCACTAAATTCTGTGTGATCCAAATTTGTGTTTCTTCCACCATTATCCCTCTCCCTTAATATCCATTCCCACATACATTCCCCATATTTTAGTCTGTATAAATTAGAAAACTGAAGTAGTTCTTTTGGAGTAAGTTCTTAAACATGTGATGAAAAATAAAATAAGTAACATATATGCCATCTATCTATCATCTACATATTTATAAGTCACTTTACTAGGACTCAGATGAGCTATTTAAATTCTAGGAGAAGACAGCCACCATGTTGTTAGCAATTACATGATGATAGTACTCAAGGTTCTAAAGAAGGAAGAAAAAAGTAAGATTTTCCGGGCTTAAGGCACTAGGAAAGGCATTAGACAATTGAAACCCCTGTACACTAGTTGTTTCTGAATAACAGTTTTGACGGCTCAGGGGAAAAAATAACCACCAAAGTGAGAAATAATAGCAAGACAATAAATTAGCTAGGTTTCCACAGATGCCAAAGAAAGCAAAGATTTAATTAAACACACACACACTCGCACATACACAGAAAACCACATCACCAAAGATGTGTGAATATACAACTTAATGTGTAAATTTAGAACAAATAATAAAAAAGGAGACTTACCTCATAAAAATAAAAGTGACTAGGCTTGAATTTCCTTCAGGGATAATAACAGAAAGATAGATGCTAGATATGAGAGAGAGAGAGAAGGAAAAAGAAGAGAGGATAGGGAGATGTGCTCTGTTCGACAGTAGTAGAAAACTAATGGCATGTTTGTGGATTACTTACATTGTTTCTAAATAGAGAAGCTGGAATTATTTTCACTTGGATATAAAATTAAATTTTTACTTTTGAAGTTATCAAATTGGAATGGTGAGTTAATGGAGGTTCCACCTACTATGGGTAAACCTTATATTCATAGAATAATAGATGAAATTGAAATGTACCTAAGAGAACATGTAGATGAATATTTTATTTTTAGATATGGAAAATGAGATCAAGAGATTGAAATAGTTTTTATTATTCGACCCAATGATTAGCTTGAAAAAAGCTGTTATTTGAACCTGAATTCTTGAGTAATTATTTGGCTTTAGGATTTATGTTAGAGATTTACTACTAGATTCTCATAAGTTTTGTTTGTTTTTGTCATAAAAACTGGGATATGTATTATCACTATTTTTCAAGAAGCTCACTTGGTTTGCTCAAGTCATGAAGTATTGCCCTGATGTGATTGAAAATACAACCTAGTATTTGATTCCAAATCCAGCAGTTTTTAGACTATAATGTTACTTATTCTCTGATTATGCCTGTGATTCTGAAAATACATCTAAATACAATGTAACTAGTTCTTTTCTGTCTCTTCTTAGATCAGAGATGAAATGAACATATTAAGCTGAGCTTTTATGGAAAATAGGGAAACATCTTTCTGTGGATTTGTTTTTAATAAGAAGAAATTTCCATAGGACCCAGAGTCACTAGCCATGGTGCTTATGGATTTAAATTTACATGATCTCTCAAATATTTTAATAATTTAACCTTTCTTTAATGGAGAACATTAGATACAAATTCTTTTATAAAAAGTTAAGCTAACACATCCTCAGTGATTTCATTTTCCTCTGTTTTCTTCTTTAGCAATATTTCAGAATGTCTTCAATCGCAAATCAAATAGCACAGTTTAAGTCTGTTATAAAGGCTATAAAACTCTTCTTAAGGGAGTCGGGAATCCAGATTACCAACAGTCGCTTTCAAACTACTGAGTGAATGGATTTGTTTTAAAATACCACTTTGTTCCACAGATTGCTCAATAACCTGTGACATGAACAACTGTTCAATAAAAAACTGAGAGGAAGTTGAATTGAGAGGGGTGTGTGTGTGTGTGTGTGTGTGTGTGTGGAGTGTAGAAAAGAATGTTTGATATATTTTGTGAATCTGACACTTTCTACCTCCCTGAAAACAATGAATGTAATTAAGCTATTTTAAGCATAAGAAACACTTTCTCATTTATAAAGTTTTCAGTTGTTTTTCTTGTGAAGAAATGTTTTTAGCCTTTTTTCAACCATATTAGGTTTGATAAATATTTGGAAAATAATGTAACTTTCAAAAAATGATAATGTTTTAAATTTATATGAAAGTTGCTGGAAGTACCCGTATAAATTTTTCATTTCCTTTTTGAACTATATGTTCCTAGAAGCATTTCATATAAAATATGTGCCTTTGTTGGTTTGGGCTGCTATAACAAAATACCACAGGCTGGGTAGTGTATAAACAAGAGAACTATTGCTCACGGTTCTGGGGGCTGGAAGTCTGAGATCAGGGTGGCAGCATGGTCAGGTGAGGGCCCTCTTCTGGTCACAGACTTCTTGTTGTATCCTCTCTTGGTGGAAGGGGCTAGAGAGCTCTGTGGGATCTCTTTTATAAGGGCACTAATCCCTTTCATGAAGGCTCTACTCTCGTGAACAAATCGCCTCTCAAAGATCCCCCACCTACTAATACCTTAGTCTCTGGGGTTAGGATTTCAACATATGAATTTTGAGAGGACACAGACATTCAGATCAGACCATAGCAATATGCAAATATCTTTTTTCATTCTCACAAACATTAGTATTAAATCTTGATTTTTCAAGTTAATAATTATATTAGGCTTCTGACAATAAAAGTACAAAAAATTCAAACTGCAAGCCAAGTGTCTAAATATGAATGAACTAACGTACTCATTTTTGCTACAAAATACATATAAACAATCTACTGAAAAAAGATTGATATTCTTTACTGATGCTAGATAGTACTCAAGTGTTTATGTATTTTACTTCCATAGAAGAGGATTTTCGGTATATTATCAAGTAGGTGAGACTAGAGTAAGTTAACACTTATAAAGTTATCCATTATTGCAAACCCATGGCATTAAAAATTTTAATACTTCCAATTTAAATTCTGATAGCTAAATAAGGTTTGTAAAAATTTTTTTATGAACTGTTCTCTTATCATGAAGACATGAAGGTTAAATAAATTATTTTTGATTTCACCCTGATACAGTACTGTTTTGAAACAAATGTGGATGAATATTTACATTATTTATTGAATTTAAGTGTGAGGTAATTTCATAGCTTGCCACTAGGAGTTGTATGTAAGGCATTAACGGAGCTTCCATAATTTATATTCACTTCTAAAGGATTTTATTGGACGTACCTCCTGACCTTACTTAAATTGGTAATTTCAGTTCTATTTGAAAGCCGGCAACACATGCATGTTAGAGCTGAAGCTCAAACTTCCATCCATAGATGGGAAACACAATTAGCAGATTCATGAATGCTGCTCTTGTGTACACTAAAGTCCAGGAGGCTATTAATTTGCATGTGCATGCTTTTAGAAAGTAAGACTTTCTGCTTTGATCATGTGGCATTTCATACGACTTCCTGGTATGAAAAGCAACAATTTTAAAACAGGAAGCTTTTATTTATTAAGGGCCTATAATCAAAGGAGAGGTTCTTACTTTAAAATCAGATTTAGTAATAAAAGAGTAAATCAAAGTAGACTTTATGAGTTTGTTCATTGTTTTTCCCACCTATGGAAAATAGCCTGACTTAGGTTTTATTTGTGATTCTAGAATACATTTATGAAATATTAATATTTGCAACATATTTTTTCACTTAGAATATTGAGAACAGTTCCTAAAATATGTTTTAATAATTTAATCAGAAAACATTTTATTTGATGAATAATTAATGCATGAATTAAAAAGTGCTTTTTGTTCTGGGTCATATGAGGGAGTAAAAAAATTTGCTTTTATAAAGTTCATTCTAATGCCATCTTTAGAAAGAGCAATAGTTTAAAAGCATTTATAAATATTAATTCAAAAAACAAAACAATTTTTATAATCATTATTGAAATTTTACGTGAAATACTTGTAGTAGATTTAGAAAAGTCCACTGCATGGACTTTATTTGAATAAAATTATAAGATGTCTAGCTGTTTGTGTTTGTCGTTTCAAACAACTCTGTGCTGGTAGTCATTTGATAAGATAACTGATGCATAAAAAAGTAAATCTTTTGACTTATATTGGAGGATGCAAACATATTTTATCTTGTTCATATATAAGTTCAAAAGAATGTATTTTCAAATAATATTTTTAGTAACAGAAAATTAGTATCGATTATCATTTTGCTCTTTCTGTGAAAACTCATGAGATATATAATTATATGAAGATATTAACAAAAAATATTAGTATAACTCCAGGCTAAAGTTATTCCTAAAATATCTAATTGTCAATATCCATTTCCTTTAAAGTCTCAAATATCTATCAGTGTGGAAGAATGGGAAGACACTAAAGACTCCAAAGAACAAGGTCATCATCGGAGCAACCACCGCAACTCGACCTCCAGTGACCAGTCTGACCATCCCTTGCTGCGGAGAAAGAGCATGCAGTGGGCCCGAAGGCTGAGCAGAAAAGGTCCCAAACACTCCGGTAAAACAGCTGAGAAAATCACCCAGCAGCGACTGAACTTCTACAGGAGGTCAGAAAGACAAGAGCTTGCTGAGCTTGTGAAAAATAGAATGAAACACTTGGGTCTTTCTACAGTGGGCTATGGTAGGCTCTTTAAAAGTATTGTATGATATGGACTTGTGATTTCTTGCCATTAGTCGTTCTATAGTTGGCTCTAATTTAGTAAGTTAAGAATCGCATTTTTGTTTCACAGGTCAATTTGAAGGGACTAGTCACACATATTTAATCTCCTACAGAAAATGATGATGATGATAAAAATAAAGTGCTAAAAATTTTAAGTATTTGCTTAGTTCTCTAGGCACTATGCTAAACCCAATACATGAATTATCTTCATTTTAATTTTCACAAAAAGTCTTCCATTTTAGAGATAAGGAAACTAAGTCAAATAACTTGCTAATTAGCTATTAATAGCATGGCTGAGATTTATATCCAGTTCTGTCTGACTCCAAAGTCTCTCCTACACACACAAACACACACCCCACATCTTATTCTGGGTCCTGGGATAAAATGAATTTGAGGCATTGGCAAGTTACTAAATGTACCAGCCATAGATGAACCAAAATGTTCCTATAAAATTTATTTAGTTTCTTGTGGTCCAAAAAACAAAAAGTCTTCAAAATCTTTAATTTGAAGCTCAAATAGTGCTTGATCTCATATAGTGCAGATTTGTCTCAATAATTGTTAGGTTACTATGTTGATGTGTGATTGCAATATAGATCATATAGCACAATTTAAATAATACAGAAATAATTTTAAAATATATCATCTAACAGTGTATGAATTTTATTTAAAAAGAAATTTAGTCAACTTAGGGGAAAACCGAATGATAAATAAGATGTTTTGTTTTGTTATATATATAACTTGAGTAAGCCAGCACTAAGATAGTGTCAGTATCATGCAGGTTAAGGATAAAACGGAATGAATTCCATATTGGCCACCACCTCATCTTTATTATTAAAGTCTCAACTCAAAACAATGGAAATAGGGAGAAATTTTAATTATTGAATTAGGTAAGGTTTAAAAGAAGTTACCTGTGTTTCTTTGAGCAAGAAAAGAAACCATGTTTAGTGAATACCTCCTCTATGCCAGGATATTATGCTAGATGCTGTACGTATATTTTCCTATTACTCTTTATAACTCTGATTAGATAGGTGTCAGAATTTGAAGCTCAGAAGTTAAAGACCTTGCTCACGGACATATAGATGAAATGTGTTTGAGTCAGGATTCCATATGTAATTGAAATTCATAATTATAGTTCACTAACATAAATGTAGTGCAGACTTATCCATGACCAATAATTTTACTATAACCACATGAGATCTTACACTAAGAAGCAAATTAAAGGGAAAAAAGATGATTTTCATTGAAAAAATTATATTAATAGCTCTTTGACAATTTAATGACATTAAGTATGATTGTATTTCTTGTAGAAATATAGTCCTATATTTATGTGTATTTTTGTTAGTTTATTAATTAATTATTCAGCAATTTTTACTTTTTTGGAAAAGTTTTGGTAAATAATTGTTCACCCAAATTCCAGCAGTGCTTTGTGAGCATTAGAACCACAGGCTGGTCCGTAAGCAGTGTGGCAGATAACAATTTGACTCTAAGAGATATAAAAATGCAGGAACTGACTACATGGGAGAATCGTCAGGGAACATATTATGTTTTTGCCAAAGAAGCTTCTATCAGGTACCTTGCATTTAGTTATTCTCTATGGTTCCTTTTTTTTATATAAATTTGTTGTTTTAATTCCCACACTAGCTCTTATAGATCAAAAGGGATATTCTCCACCTTTTTTTCCTCTCTTTTCTTCTTTCTTTTCTTCTTTTTCCTCTCTTTTCTTCTCTCTCTGACCGTTCTGTCCATCTATCTATCCATGGATCAATTAATCCATTCTAAAGCCGTGTACTGGACACCTTCAATAACATAAAGATTAGGGAAACCGGATTTGGAATCTAACACATCATGGGCTTCTGGACTTCTCCACATATTCCTAACTCACAATAATCCACCCATTCAACAGATATTATTGGGCTGCCCTCTCAGTGCCAGGAACTGTTCCAGGCACTGGGAATAGAACAATGACCTACTCAGACAAAGACCTACTCAGACAAGACTCATTTATGAACTTATGTTCTAGTGTCAGCCAGTAAATTTATTGAAGTAGTTAAACTCTCCAAACCATCTATCATTATGAAATGGAAATAATAATACCTATCTTGTAGGTTGTTGTGGAGGACAATGGAATAATGAATAGTAATGTGCTTATTAGCCCAGAACTGGCATTCAGTTAATATCACAGATCTACTGTATATCTAAGTACTGTATGTATATGTGTGCTTTATACATATAAAGAGTAAATTTTTTTGCCCACTACAAAAAAAAAAACCCACAAATCTTGCACACTTGGGGGCAATATGATTTCCATTGAGGATGCATACTCTAAAACACTTATTATTTTGCGTGTTTCCCTTCCTTCCTTGAGGGAAAGGGAATGTCTCACTCGTCTTTTCATCTTTGTATCCTCAACAAATCACACATTTCCTGACATGTAGGAACCCAGTACCTGCACATTGAATGCATGAACAGATGGAGTGCTTACAGGTGAAAAAGCAGGTCTCAAATATAAATGATTTCCATGGGTCACCTAGCCTATATACACTGGAGTCAGTACTTTTACTCATGACTTTTGACTCTATATCTTTTTATGTTTCCACTCTACCATATGTTCTTCCTATATTTTTGTCAATATTTTGTAGTGCTTTACAGATGAAAAATGTTTTTAAATACTTCATACACAATGCATGCTACTGATTTAACCACGAGTCATAATCCAATTTTTTCTAAGTAGATCTGGCCTGCTCTGAGAGAATGAACAGATTTCTTTTGACTTATTGGGTATGGGACATAAAGGAGAGGGAAAGGGAAGAGTCAAAAGATGACTTTGAGGACTCTAGTTTGAACAACTAAGTGTATGGTGGTGACAGTCACTAAGTTTAGAAGAAGAAGACAAATACGGTGTAGTGAAGATAAATTTAATTTGAGTGCCTGGAAAACTTCCAATAGGTGATGTTGCATAAGAAGCTGAATTTCTGCTGTCTGGTGCTCAAGAAAAAGAGTGAGATGTTTATAGAGACTTGAGAGTCATCAGCATATAGATTTTAATTAAAGGCACTAGATTAGATGAAATAACCCCAGGTAAAGGACTACGAGAAACTCTAGAAAATACTCGCATTTCTGGAATGTTAAGAGAAGAAATATTTTTAAAAAACAAGAGACTGAAGTGTCTAGAACTGAGTTTTACCCAAAAGATGTGCCATAGCACAACAGTCTGCTATCATTTGGTTGCATGTTTTATCATGCCATTAACCTTTTACCTTCAGAAGGCCAGGTGGCGCCTGGAGTGGTCAGAGGCATCCCTCAGACTTGTTCTTCCAGCCATAAACAGTTTTGTCTGTTACCCCAATGTGAGTACAAATATTATGTCCTGTGTGTTCTATGATGTGAAAAAATGTTGGAAAGTGTTGGACTAGAGAAATAGGAGGCCATGATTAATAGTGCCAAATGGTATTGCAAGTATAGTGATAGGTCATTGATGACCTCAGTGAGGACAGCACCGGTAAAATGGTATATGTGTAAGCCAGATTTGAGTAGTTTGAGGAATGATGTTAGGTAAGGATTTGGATATAGTAGATTTAAATATATTAGGGACCCCGAGGTATTGGAAATTTAATCTTTTATCTTATTGCACCGCCATCTATTGCTTCCATTGCCAAAGTCATGTCGTGGTATAAGACGGATGTTGGAACTCTAATTATTTTGTCCACATTTCATCCAGCGGAAACAAGGGAGATACCAGAGAAGAAAGGGTTGTCTGTGCAGTTAAAAGATACCACCAAGTAGTTGCACACGCCATTTCCACTAAGGCCCACTGTCAAGGAAGTATGTTTTATTTTTGGTGGCCACATCTAATATTAAAGAAGACAAGAAGAGTGGCTATCGAGAGACAACTATCAGTCTCTGCCACTGTAGATATTTTTTTTGGTAAGTTTCATTGTGAAGGAAAGGTGAGGAATAGGGAGAGCCCTGTTTGGGAAAGTGGAGAGGGAAGAGAGACTACTTGTTATGAAGACAGAGAGATAGGAGGATGTTTATTAAGACTGAGCCATTAGTGAAGAAGTTGAAAATACAGGAAAACGATCACGGTTGGAACCCTTTGCTTAGATATTTGGAAATGAGGAAAAGGTCCATGTTTTCAAATGCAGTAAATGTGTAGGTATTTTGACAAGAAGTTGAGTAACATTTCATATGATGGTAAGAATTATTTGTTGAGAATGATGGCAAGAGTGGAAAGGTGAGTGTTTTGAAAATAATTCAGAATGTCTGCAGTCTCAGAGTAAAAGGTGTCCTTCTGTGCGAGACTAATCTCTCTAATTTTTTTTTATAATTCTAAAACAGAAAATTTCAAACATGAATAAATGTAGAAAGAATATTATAATGAATCCACATGTACTCACTATCCTGCTTCAACAGCTATTAACTCATGGCCTGTCTTGTTTCATGTAGATTCCCACCAATTTCCCTCACTTCTCATATTATTTTTAGGTAAATTTCAGACATCAAGTATGTCAGTATACACTTCTATAATTTATGGACTAGTTTTAATAATACAGCCACCTATCATTTTCACGCTTAAAAATAATTTTTTAATATCTTCAACTATTTGCTTTGTGTTCAAATTTCCAATTATCTCACAAATGTCATAATTTTTTACAATTTATTTAAATAAGAATCAATTAAGGTCCACAGATTGAGATAAGTGACAAGTTTAAATCATTTTTGAGTTTCCCCATTTCATATTTTTTCTAATGCAATCTATTTCTTGAAGAAACTCACTCTTTGTTCTGTGGTTTCCTATGCTCTGAGGTTGCTGTCTAAATTTGCCCATTCTATTCCCCCTCTTTTCCTTTTTTTTAACCAGTTTTTTGTTATTATTATGAACTCATGAATTTAAATGTATCTGATATGTTTTAATCCATTGCAATTATTATATTATTGATCAGGTTGTCCTAAGTTTTACC